ATGTGAGGGATTTTGTCAAAGGCAGTTTCAAAATCTAAATAAATAATGTCTATTAATTTTCCTTCTCCTGTAAAATATTTTCCTGGCATTTTGAAAGACTGCTAAATAGGTAAGAAGACATGGTCTCTCTTCTAGCATACTCACCCGCACTGAGCCCTATGGTCATGAAGCTTGAGAGGACATATAATTATGGTTATAATTATCTCCACAACAAATTTCCAAAGTACAAATTCAGGAGATTAGAATTATTCTAATATAAAAAATATGTTTATCAGACATTAACATTGCATTTGAATAAGAATAAATACTTTCAAAAATTGTATGCTTTTGATTTATTTCTCAATAGCAAAAAATGTAGGCATTGTGGAAACCTACTGCATTCAGCGTATAAGCTTCCCCTCTGCAAGTCATTTGTGCAGCCATTAGAAGGGAGGCCACATGGTGTTATGCTGACCTTTTAGAACAAGATATCCATATGGGAGATCTCAGTACTACTGATGTTTTCAGTTACAGCAATCTCATTTGGCAGAAAAATACTCCTGACATACAGGTGAAATTTCTTCGTGACACCTCAGTTGTTACATGGGCCTCTCATTTTTCTTCATTTATCAGAGAACATGTTAAAGTACACTGGCATATATCAAACACCCTATAAAACAACGATTCTTTATACTGTAGTGTTGATTTGGCATTGAAGTACTTTGACATGTTTATTCATTTAAACAAAGCTTCATTAATGATTACAAGCCATCAGTTTGAACAGTCTTAAAGACTAATAGAATGGGTTGTCAGATTAAATAAAAATCAAATTCTTGAGTAGCAAAGTAAAACATTAGATCACACTTTTTCTTTCAGTTTACTTCTAGAATCCTATATCATTTTTACAAGGGGTAACAATTGTCCATATTCCTTCTTTAACTGGTCAAAATGTATGCTGATCTCTATAGGTCTCTGCTGTGTTCCTGTCCAATTATAATTTTTTCCAATTTTTAATTGCTTTTACTACAAAGAGCTCTAGTCCAACTCATTCTAAGCAATGAATAATTTTCTGGACATCATTTCTCTTCCTTTCAAATGGGATAAGCTTTCCTCAGCTTTGGAAAGGCCCTGAAGGACCCAGACTGAAGCATAGTCTTTGAGAGGGTGATTTAACCCATCTTGATATCAACATCAAGGCAGATAAGGTGCATTGCCTTTGTGAAGCACCTATCTCTCCCCATTGACTGTGGAAAATAAACAAGACATCTACATGGCCCAGTGCAGTGCTACACACAGAGACCTGCGCTTAGTCTGTAAGCAGGAGTACAGTGGCCACTCCACCCTCATGAATTAGTCCTTCTGAAAAAGCACCAATGTGGCTGATCACAGGATCTGAAGGAGCACCTCTGCTTGACACTGGTATTCAGAAGTGCCTGGTGATCTTTCCATGGCAATACACTGCATTGAGTAGATGTGCTATAAAGGCACAGGCAAATGTCAGATGCAGATGGCAAGTCCAGGCTCAGAAGCAGTCAGAAATCGGTGTGTCTTTTGGTTTTGATGCCACCCACAGAAACTTCAGGGTCTGGCGTAAAGCCAGGGGTGATATGCTAATGCTAGAAAGCCTAAAGGGAACATTCTGACTTTAAAAATATTAAAACAGATAATCAAAGCAAGAATAAAATTTCTCTAGCAATTTAAGGATTTTGAGGTTTTAACTGATTATGCAGATTGTTTGTAAATCTGTGGCTCTATTTCCCTCTTTTATTAATGAAATCCTTTCCACTTGAATGTGTAGATTTTTTTTCTGTATGTATAGAAAGACAATTTAAATAAACTTTCATTTTTTATCCTAACAGAGTACCAGTCTGAATACGTTTCATTTATTCAGAAGACTTCCTGAAGAAAAACAGATTTTCATGATGAGAGGCCACTAGAAGAAAATCCAGTAAAGAACATGACCTTTAGTAAGTTAAGACTGCTACTTGTTTATTAATGTTATTGTCATCATGGATCTCCTGACAGGATTAGGTGACAAAAAAGTGGAAGCTTCTCTAATCTATTCCCGTGTGCTGTTTTACTCAATTACAACATGCTTGCCTTGTTTTCTCTCTAGAGCATAGGCTAGCTCTTTGCTCAAGCCAATACTGGATGTGGCCTAAACATGACTAATGCTTTTAACCAGATGGCTATACAGATAGCTATCTCTCAATTATTTTTTCAATATTTTCTTCCTGGGTCTTTCATCTATATTTATCTAGAGGTTTTAGCACCACATGTCCATTTTATATAGATTTTAATTACTTGGGCTTGCTACACAGCATTTTCTATTTGAATGACTCCACAAAACAGTTAAATAACCAAATAGTTACAGTTCATGGTCATAGAATCATTTAGGTTGGAAAGGACCTTTAAGATCATCAAGTCCAACTGTTAACCTATCACTGCCATCCCACCACTAAACCATGTCCCTAAGTGCCACATCTACCCGTCTTTTAAATACCTCCAGGGATGGGGACTCGACCACTTCCCTGGGCAGCCCATTCCAATGCTTGACAACACTTTCTGTGAAGAAATTTTTCCTAATGTCTAACCTAATCTTCCCTGGTTCAACTTGAGGCCATTTCCCCTTGTCCTATATCGCCCGTTACCAGGGAGAAGAGGCTGACCCCACCTCGCTACACCCTCCTGTCAGGCAGTTGTAGAGAGCGATAAGGTCTCCCCTCAGCCTCTTCTTCTCCAGGCTAAACAACCCCAGTTCCCTCAGCCGCTCCTCATAAGACTTGGGCTCCAGAACCCTTCACCAGCTTCACTGACCTTCTCTGGACATGATCCAGCAACTCAATGTCCTTCTTGTAGTGAGGGGCCCAAAACAGAACACAGTATTCAAGATGCAGCCTCACTAGTGCCGAGTACAGGAGGATGGTCACTTCCCTAGTCTTGCTGGCCACACTGTTTCTGATACAAGCCAGGATGCTATTGGCCTTCTTGGCCACCTGGGCACACTACTGGCCCATATTCAGACAGCTGTTGACCAACATCCCCAGGTCCTTTTCCGCCAGGCAATTTTCCAGCCACTCTTCCCCAAGCCTGGGGTTGTTGTGACCCAAGGGTAGGCCCAGCACTGAGCCTTGTTGAACCTCATACAATTGGCCTTGGCCCATCAATCCAGCGTGTCCAGATCCCTCTGCAGAGCCTTCCTACCATTAAGCAGATCAACACTCCTGCACAACTTGGTGTCATCTGCAAACTTACTGAGGGTGCTCTTGATCCCTTCATCCAGATCATTAATAAAGGTATTAAACAGATCTGTCCCCAATACTGAGCCCTGATGAACACCACTTGTGACTGGCCGCTAACTGGATGTAACTCTGTTCACCACAACTCTTTGGGCCTGACCATCCAGATAGTGTTTTACCCAGCAAAGACTATGCCCATGCAGGCCATGAGCAGCCAGTTTCTTCCAGGACAATGGTGTCAAAGGCTTCACTAAAGTCCAGGCAGACAACATCCGCAGCCTTTCCCTCATCCACTAAGTGGGTCAACTTGTCATAGGAGATCAGGTTAGTCAAGCAGGACCTGCCTTTCAGAAACTCATGGTGACCAGGCCTGATCTTGTGGTTGTCCTGCACGTGCTGTGTGATGGCACTCAAGATGATGACCTCCATAAGCTTTCCTGGAATCAAGGTCAGACTGACAGGCCTGTAATTCCCCAGAATTCCTCCTCCTTCCGGCCCTTCTTGTAGATGGGAATCACATTTGCCAACCTCCAGTCAACTTAGACCTCCCTGGTTAGCCAGGACTGCTGGTAAATGATGGAAAGTGGCTTGGTGAGCAATTCTGCCAGCTCCCTCAGTACCCTTGGGTGGATCTCATCTGGCCCCATAGACTTGTATGTGTCTAAGTGGTGTAGCAGGTTGCTGACCATTTCCCTTTAGGTTATGGGGGCTTCGTTCTGCCCTCTGTCTTCCAGCTCAGGGGGCTGGGTACCCCAAAACCAACTGGTCTGACTATTAAAGACTGAGGCAAAGGCATTAAGTACCTCAGCCTTTTCCTCATCCTTTGTCACTATGTTTCCCCCCGCATCCAATAAAGGATGGATATTCTCCTTAGCCCTCCCTTTGTTGCTAATGTATTTCTAGAAACATTTTTTATTGTCTTTTATGGCAGTAGCCAGATCAAGTTCTAGTTGGGCTTTGGCCCTTCTAATTTTCTCCCTGCATAACCTCACAATATCCTTGTAGTCCTCTTGAGTTGCCTGCCCCTTCTTCCAAAGATCATAAACTCTCATTTTTTTGTAACTGAATGTCTTTTTTTCATAACATATCATCTTTTTCTCATAATCTATCTAAAAGTTATTCTGGTACCTTATCCAACTAATGCTGCATCTTCTGAGATATTCCAGGGGTATTCTCAGAAAACACAAAAGGTTTGTCCATTCATAGAGCAAGATGTT